AGAGAGAGAGAGAGACCGAGAGAGATCAGCGAATCCATAGCCACACCGTGCTCGCTCGGCCCTTTAAAAGAACTCACTTTGGAATGTGAGCCCGGCCAGTCATATACTTCCCAGAGTCGTACTCCACCTCGCAGGCTTTTTCTAGAATCCATAATTATATCTGAAACTCGACACAGAGAAACGGAGGTGTTTATTAGTGTGCTGTTCCATAAATTGTACGATAAGGTTCAAACGATACCTTTCGACGCACAACAAAGGTCCTTTTCACACGAATATCCTTTGGGCACTGCGAGCATTCTAGGGCTTTTCCCTTGTCATCCATCGCTGCGGGATTTCCGGCGGGGCATCGGGCTGAAATGATGGTTAAAGGAAAGGAAAGGTTTTGTTATGATCAATCGCAAGTAGTATAAAGTATAAAGGCGGCGCTAGTATAAAATAAAGTCCTAGCGGGCGCTCGTACGACGTTACATGGACAACCAAGTTTTTTTTTTGTAACGTTTGTAAAATCGGGAGTTTCCGGCTGATTTTTTCAGAGGATAGAGATTAGCTGACGCGCTACCAATCACATTTATCAGAAATAAATTTCATCGCAGTTCCACCGAGAAAATCCGATTTTAGTGACACCAAGTGTCACCGCGGGTGGGGTGGGGGAAAACCAAAATAGGGGATCATTTGAATGTCCACAACTTCAATCCCAGATAAAGTTGTCAATTTGCATACTTTCTTTTGTTTGTTTTGCATATTTCGTATTTGCATAATAATTAGGCATATTTGCATATTTCACAAATTAAATAACGGAAGGCAACCCAAATTTGCATGGCTTTCCCGGTTCATAAGCGGCTGAAACCCGCCGGTGCTATCGTTATTTCGCCAACTCGGTCAAGACGGTCGCGCTCCCGAATGGCTCCTCCGACTCCGAAGTCCAAGCCAAGCAAGAAGAAGAAGAAGAACCAGGACGCAACGAGGGAGGACGACGGATCCGCCGAGGCGAAGAAGCCCCCGACGCCCCAGGGCCGCAAGGTGGCGACACGTGAGACGGGTTCGTTATTTTCTTTCTTACTAACATTATACTCTTACTTTCGCTCTTATTTTGTAGGCCTGACACGTTTTTGCGTAAAAAAACCAATTGGTGCTCGGGGAATCGGTGTACCTAGTATACCGCTAGCCTCCTTTCACTATCGGTAAAAACGGGTTTTTTTTGGAAGCAAAGTATACAGACCCGGCAGCGATTTTCCTCTTCTTTATAATTCTATTTTAGCTCCCGCCACACCAGAGAAAAAGGCCGAAGAACCGGAAAAAGCAAAGTCAAAGCCGCAGCCGCCGCAGACGCCGCCGCCGCCGCCCACCGATTCCGCGCGCGATCTGCTCAAGCTGATCATCGACCTTGGTGGGTTTCCGGAATTCCGGCGTTGAGCGTCTGTGGGCTACGCGCGACGCCTTTCGACACACTACGACGCGCTCCTCTCCACGCTCAACTGTCCACGGGCGGCGCAATTCGTTCTTTCAACCCAAAAAACCCCCGATTTTGTTACAAACAAATTCATTTCGAAAATGTGATAGAAAAATCGAAAAACTAAATATATACGCTTTTTTGCGAGGTTTGTGATGATTTTTTGAGGCCGCGCAGCCGCAGATTCTCTTCCGATTCCCAATATTCTCGGCTTTTTGACATTTCTCCTCAACACCACTCATTTAGGCGCCAGCGGGCTTCGTGCAAAGTGGGTCGAACTGAAGCCGTACGCCGGCCCCAACAAGGCAATCACCGCCTTCACCGCCAACCCGGACAAGAACCGCTACCAAGATACGGTGTGCCTGGATGAGAGCCGCGTCAAGATCACGCCGGAAGAGGCCAATGAGGGCGATTACATCCACGCCAATTGGGTCAAGGTAAACTTTCGCAGATTACTTCAAAGTTTAATATCTAGATGGACAAGCGCGAGACGTGGATCGCCACCCAGGCCCCCACCGAGGCCACCATCGTCGACTTCTGGCGGATGTGTTGGGAGCACGAGGTCGTGAACATTGTGCAGTTGTGCCGTCTGGTCGAAGACGGGAAGATCAAGGTGTGGACCACGCACAATTTCGAAACGTTGTCCTCTTTTCAGTGCGCCGCCTATTGGCCGGACGAGCCGGGCCTCTTCCAGAACCACGGCCGTTTCTTCGTCAACAACAAAAAGAAGGAGATGCAGGTGGGCTTCACGGCGTTGACCATCGAGCTGCTGCCGGACGGGTGCTCGAACAGCCGGATTGTTCGGTGGGAACTTTTTAGTAAAGTAGATTATCATAACAAATTTAAAATAGTCGGTTTTTAACAAAAATTCCAATTTAACAAAGATTTATTTCGTTTTCTTTATTTAGTTAGCAGTTTTTTTCGTTTTAGTTTATTTAGTTTCGAAGGTATTTATTTTCCCGCTTAAAATGTAGTTAAATTTGAACTCGCGGGACTCTATTTTTCCAGGCTCATCCAAATGCACGACTGGCCGGATCGCGGCGTCCCCACCAGCGGTCCCCATCTCCTCCGTTTCCTGCGTGCCTTGGACAAGGTTCAAAAATTTCATGTTTTTGGCAAGCATTCATCTTCAGCATGGCGACGAGTTGAACAAGGGCCAGACCGTCATGCACTGCTCCGCCGGGATTGGTCGCACCGGAACGATCATGCTGATCCACTGGATGAAGACGGCCTGCGCCGCGAACGAGCCTTTCGACGTATGATTGTGCTTCTAGAACCATTATTTCCGCTTGTTTAGCCGTTCGAGATGTTCAAGAAGCTGCGCGACCAGCGGGCCTCATCCGTCCAGACCGAACAGCAATTCCTGTTCGTCTTCGCGACGTGCATGGATTGGATGGAGGTAAAATCTCTTTTCTTGCAACTTCCAACTATGTTGCCTTCAGTTCCGCTACTCCCAGCTCCCTTCGAAGTTCGCGGATACGAGGAAGGACCTAGACGGCTACATCCGTAGAACATGCAACAACAACAACAACAACAACAATTAACACATCTCCGTGCTCGCCCACCGCTTCCACTTTATTGTCCACCAATTCATTCTCTTGGTTCCGCTCGCCTGTGATTTTATGTAAAATGTGTCGATTTTCAAATGTCTTTGTGAAATCCTTTTGTCGTGTTGGTGATAAACATGGGTGGTTTATGTCGTTGGATGGAATAAAGAAGTTGTTCGAGTTTGTGCTTTGACCCTCGATACTTTGGTTCCCATGCGGCTTGGTGGCTGCTTCAAGAGTGCGATTTCTATACCTTGGATTTGATCCCAAACTTTTTTGGTGAGCTTTCGGTTCTGGTTCTGGTCGCTCGGGGGAGGACTTGATCGGGAAAGCTTTTCTGTGCCGCAGGTTTCGCAGATTCGATATTTGCCTTTTTTCGGGGCTACTTCAACTGGATTTTCGAAATTTTGGGCATTTTGCTACCACTCTTGGATATTGCTTTAAAAAAGGCTCTTGCGATCCCCAAACTCACCAACAGGAGCCGCCGGTGCCAGCTTGGACCCCTTGCACGTCTTCTCGCAGTCGGCCCTCGAATCGTGGCGATTCTCGTTTCCGCCGCAACCCTAAATCAACGTCTAGGGTTTTGTAATGTCTTCCAAAATGTCACCTTGTAGTAAAATGGTTGACAAATTCCGCGCTTCACGTCAAAGAAAAATTTCTGCGCGCCAGGCTCGTCACATGGGCGCCCCGGTTCGCGGCCTGAAAATTCGGGAATACCGTTTCGAAGGGCCATGGGAGCGGGAATATAATAGAAAGTGCGCTGATTCGATCTGCCCATTTTGGTTGTGCTTGTTGGTTCGTTGCCGTAATGCAGCCTTTTGTAGATACAAGCATCTCAATTCGGTTTCAATGGAGTTTTTTTGGGCGATACCAACGTTGAACGAAATTTTTCTTGGCTGATATTGATCAGAATTTTACGCTGTATTGAATGACCGCATTACTATGGTCAAAAATCGTAAAATTGGTAGCTTAAGGATTTCCAACACCGCAAAAAATAGCCAAATTTAGCGCTTTTTTAAAGGCGGCGCGTATATTTAAAGGCGTTTCGCGGCGCGGAAAAATATATACATAATCCACGGCCACAAAAGTCCATCGCGTGTCACAATCAAGGCCAAAATCCATAGGAATAAAATTGGCTATCCGCCTTGGGGGGCCCTTTAGACTTACCAACAACGCATTTCACAGTCGTCTCTTCATCCGCAGCATAAATACCGTAGCAGAAAAGTGGTAGGAGCAGCAGCGTTACGTGAGGATACATGGCGACGGAATGGCGGGCGGTGGGCACTGTATTTTACTGCACGTTGACCGCTGCTGGATACACACAACAATGCTGTTTTCCCTTCCCAATAGATTTTTCGCGGCTGCCGGCTCCTTTTTGAATGGAAAGAACTGGGCTGGACAACAACATTTCTCACCCACAGCTATCTCAAGAAATAGAAAAGGTCATTTGGCTGGGTGGAAAATCAACAGATCCGCGCGGGTGGTGGTGAAAAAAGGAGCGACGCGTACGGATTAATCTTTTTTAGGCTGTAAATGTTTTATTTTACGCTATTTTGAGCTAAAATTAAAACGTCTCGGATAGTTTTTGATGCTCTATCGAATGGTGTCTGTAAAATGGTAAATAATAAAAAATAAAAATAAACAAATAGAGAAAATATCGAAAACTAGGTTATTTTTGTTTGTTTTTATAACTTTTTTAATACATTATTTTAAGCTGTGATTAAAACTCTCAGTACATTTTTTGATGCTCTGCTGAATAGCGTCTTGAAAATGTAGACGATCAAAACAAAAAAATTTCGAAAAGTAACACCATTTTCAAAGTTTAATTTTGGTTTTTTTCTAGAACTGACGAGTTTTCGCGTTGGAATCCAAATATTGCTAATTCCTCTTCAAATATCGCGTTTATTACAATAAAAAACTTCAGCGAAACAGCCGAGAAAATCAATATTCTTGGCCCATCTCGGCGAGTCTCATGTGGAATTGCTGGGGCTCACCGGCGTCTAGTTCTGGCTAAATGTTGCAGTACGATTTTTGGGCCCAAATACCTCCTCCGAGCTGTCGACGTCTTCCGCGGATTCTGGAGCGGCGCGTGGAGGTTCTAAAACTACGATAAAAAAATCTTATTAAAATATACCTGGGTCAGCAACGGCCCGCTTGGCCTTCGTGTCTTGGTCCTGGAAAAAGGAGGGTTACGACCAGGTAAATAATCCTTGAAAAAAAATGTGGTTTACGGTGGATTACGGTACTTTTGTGTACTTTGGCGATGTTGTCCTTACCTCGGCTTCATCGCTAGCATCCGTTTTCAGGTCGACAAAGTACAGACCGGCTAAAGCTAATTGATTACGTCATGAAATTGTGGTACCCACACGTGTTGGTTTTGACGTGGCTGACGAAGGCATTCTTCTCCGCCTCGGTGATGTGGGGCTTCTGTAAATGGCTCTCCCTCTCTCTCTCTCTCACTCTCTCTCGCTCTCTGTCTTTCTCTCTCCTTCTCTCTCTCCCTCCCCTCTCTCTCTTTCTCTCCCTCTCTCTCCCTTTCCCTCTCTCTCTCTCTCGAAAAATCTCTTAACTGACCGCAAATACTGCCAGGAATACACAAGTAATCGCAAGTAGACGCACTAATAGTGACATATCGAACGACTTCGGAATTTATGCAGTTTTTCGGTAAAACTATTGAAAGCGCGAGCGGGAGCGCAAACCTCGTGCTCATTTTTATTGGCCCATAATCCCCGAATAACGAGTGGATGGAGGGGTTGGCTGTTGAGGCCAAATTGGACGCTGGTGAGTCATCATTTTTGGCACGAAATAGGGAAGAAATTAGAACTTTTCGATAGAGAGAGGGAGAGCGAAAGAGAGAGAGCGGGCGAGCGAGAGAGATAGCGAGAGAGAGTGGGAGAGAGAGAGAGAGAGAGAGAGAGAGAGAGAGAGAGAGAGAGTGAGAGAGGGAGAGTGAGAGAGGGAGAGGGAGAAGAGACGCAGAAAAATTTCCAGCTATAATTACGGGGATTAAGAAGGGATCGACAGCGGAAATTTTAGGTCATCTGGAATTTCTTGGACTTTAAACTCCGCAACTTTACTAATAGCGTAGCTAAACTAAAAACTAAACCAGAGTACCGTAGCGAATATTAATAAAATTTTTACGTCCATAATTTTTTTTGCCAAATTTTGTCTTCCCAGCCCCCTTAAAAGGATTCAAATGTCGACCTTCCACCCCTAATCTCGTCTGGACCCCAAGTCAGGCTGTTGGTGCCCTTTTTGGTGGGTTCTTAGGGCCCAATCCCGTCGTTCTCCCACGGTCCATCCCCCCGAAAATCCTCCCCTACCCCTCCATATTCATAAGGCCATAGGGCAAGAGGGTGGCGCCCCAAAAGACTTTGGATTATGGGTTCGTTGGCGTTGCTTTTTGTGCTGCTACCGTCCCTTTAAATGGCCTGGCTGCTAGCAGAGATCATTTTGGAATAGCTTACTTGTCAAAACCAGCGTTTCTGCGCATATTTTTTGCATTGACCGTTCCTTGCATTCATTGGGGCTAACAGAGCACATTAGCGCAGCGTTTTCAGTCCATTCCCGTACCTTGGACGCTTAAAACTGTGGCTAACAGAGGCCATTTGTCATAATCTAAAATGAAGTTCCTACGAAGTATAGTTCGATGATACCTTGCTGACTCCTTTAAACCCGAGGACGGCTGGACGGCGACTTTAATCACTTAAAATACGCAACTGCGTGTCTGTCAGTTCGTCAAGACCAAATTCTTAGTCCCCGCACCGCGCACCTTCCCATCCGTCCCTCCATCCTCCTGGTCCGTCCCAAAATATAAGCCATTAGGAATGGACGGGCTCGAAAAGAAGGGATGGGCATCATATAGGAAACGGAGGACGGGGATCTTGGGCTAATGGCCCTTCTGAACGCATCCCCGTCGATGTGGTGGACGATGGAGAGAAGGGGAAAAGCCCCCCAGCACAGGGCAACCGGCCACATTATTTTGTACGCCGCGTCTCCTACCTCCCCAGGGCTGGAGTCTCGTCATTTTTTTCCGGACCCTTGATCTGCCCTGCAAAAACGCGGCGGGCTTAAAAAATGCCTGGCTTATTCCCGGCGGCTAAAACGAGCCCTGAAGGGTATGGTAGCCGGGGTGCAATTTAGGGGGAATCGCGGGTTACTGGAATTTGGGATACGGCAGCCAATAAAACGCTGAATTGGATTGCTGGATTGTTCTGCCGAATTTTTGCGATGCGTCCCAAAATTTCAAAGCTTTGGATTTCGGCTTGGCGTGGGGGTCGTTAGACTTAACTTAGGATTGGGCTGAGCTTGGGCTGAGCTTAGGCCTGGCTTAGGCTTAGGTTAATCTTGGGCTTAGCTTAGGCTTAGCTTGGGTTTAGCTTTGGTTTAGCTTTGGTTTAGCTTAGGCTTAGCTTCGGTTTAGCTTAGGCCTAACTTAGACTTAGCTTAGGCTTAAGATTAGGCTTAGGAGTAGGAGTGTGGTTGGCTAGGCTTAGGCTTAGGCTTAGGCTTAGGATAGGCTTACGCTTCGGCCAGGCATCGTCTTAGCCTAAGCATGGGCTTCGATCCAGGCTTCGTTTAAGGCTCAGGTTATTGGTGATAAGGTTCGCCGGACAATTGCTCCAGGAAACAGCATTGTTTTAATAGCTGGCTCCGCTTTAGTTATTTTTGTGCATTTTGTGACAGCATCCCTGAACCTGCCAGGTGAAATTGTCTTTCTAATAAGGGCAATCAGCCAAAATTGCCTCTTGTCCGAATTTTTTTACATTCCATCTTATCGAGTTTATTTATAAGCGACTGGGCACGAGCACGAGCACGAGCGATTTTTGGGCGAGTTAGTCTTTTTTCAGGCGTGAAAGTATTTTTCTATACCAAACCCAGACCCAGACGACTCTTCCCGGTTGTCTAGTCCACCCTTTCACAGCGCATTTTCACCACCATCCCTGAAGGCGGGCTCTAATCCATTTTTCTGGAGCACCACCTTTTTCTTGTCTGGATTCTTGGGGAGGAACGCTGGTTTTTTGTGTTCGTTTTGCATGAACGACCTGGCGAGGTGAGGTTTAAGTTTTTGAAAGTTGCTTTCTCTCTCTCTCTCTCTCTCTGTCTCTCTCTCTCTCTCCCGCCCTGTCTCTTTCTCACACGCTCTCCCTCGCTCTCGCTCTCTCGCTCTTTCTCTCTCCCTATCTCTCTCCCCCGCTTCCCAAAAATCACTGCTAGCCTACCACTTTTTGAATCGTTCGTTTTAAGATGCTCCTACAAAACGTTCCCGAATCCCCTCGGACATTCCAGATGCCGCTGACCAATGCCCGGGTCCAATTTGGGCCCAAATTTTAGGGCCCATCTGTGTTGGGGGGGAGCGGGCCAGAGAAAAGGGCCCTGGCCAACCTGTCGCTGTGTCAAAGTGTAAAACAACCAATCGGCCGCAGCGCCAAAAAATACCCGCGAGTCATCCCTCGTTGTGCCCGAACTACCCGCATCCCGGTTGCACAGCTTTCGATTTCTGGTGCATATTTTTATAGGCATTTTTAGCTTGTAAGAATAGAATAAAAAGGACAATATTAGAGTTGCTACAATTTTTGTTCTTGGCAACTGCTTTTTTCTGCGAAAATACAAAAAAAAAATGTTGTTGCGGACACTTGCCCTGCGTTTCCTCTTCTCGCTATTGTTTTTGGGGAGTGCGACCCGGAATTTTTCATGTCCAGCCTTTTCGGAGCTTCTTTAGTCGTCAGGTCCGAGTTCTCCCACGCTCTTCTGTTGATCTGGCGTTTTTTAGAAAGTACTTGTCGAACTTGGAGGAAGGGCAAGGGAGGACGAAGCGAGCGAGAGAAATCACTACGGGCCGGAGACCTTCCAAAAATTGATATGAATTAATCCTTAATACGCCCGAGGAGTAGCTAAAACATCTCCCTCGCTCTCTCGCTCTCACTCTCTGTCTCTCTCTTCGCTTTCTATCCCACTCTCTATCGCTATCGCTAAATCTCTCTTGCTCACGCACACTATCTCTCTAGCCGTTTGTCTCTCTCTTTCTCGCCCACGCTTTTGCTCCCTCGCCGGATCTCTGTCTGATTTACTTTCTTCCGTTTTATTGTCACCATCCCCTAAAAACATTAACTGCCTCCTTTCTTATACAAATCCGATGCTTGAGCCAATTTTTTTTGTTCCCCAACCTTACTCCCCCACGCTAGTTGCCAAGTCAATTCAATCGGCGGGCCCGAGTGGGTAAGCTAAACCCCCAAGAAACTCTATTTTTATCCCCCGAAGTTGGCGGCGTGTTGCCTTTTCGTTTGGCCCTAGTAGATCAGAGGTGAAAATTTGACTCTAGTTTGAAACTTGAAAAGGGCGAGAAAGGGGCCGTTTTTAAGGCTTCTCTTATTCTCTTACCACCGTCAAAATACGAAACGTCGTGTGGGAGGAGGAGGAGGAGATGCTCGTTTCGCTCTCTCTCTCGCTTTCTCTCTCTAGCCTGACTGCACGGCTCGTTTAACACGAAGGGGACAACATTTTTGCCGTCGGGGGGGGGCTAGGCTAATAGATGGGAGTCCATATTTTGGACGGAAGAGGGGGAGGGCGATATTTTGAAAAAGCACCCCTAGAAATCGCCCAGGTGCCGGCATCATTGTTTCCTGATGGGACTAAGGAATTATATCCTACTTCGTTGCATTTTTTGCATTACTGTATTGTCTCCCACTATCGCCGGCTCTTTTGCATTATTGGGGGGCAAAATTAATTTTCAAAAACTTCTTTGTAAACTTGCTGACATGACATCTCATCTCGTAATTCGGGTGCCAAACAAGGCCGTTTTGGCTCTGTATCTCTTTCGCTCTCCCGCTCACTCTCGATCTCTCTATCACTCTCGCTTTCTCTTTGCCTGGCCGGTTCTCCCTCCTGACACCATCCCTTAAATAGCCTCCATCTAAAGTCAGACCTCACGCTCAATCCCGTGCCTTCAGGAGAAGCTGGGGCCGGAAATGGCCGGCTGATCGGATAACCGTGGAGGGAGGCGAAAGGAGGATGGGGTGAAGGAGGACAACAAAAGACACTCCTGACTTTTGGCGCCGTGAAGCTCTTGTCGATAGGAATATCACGCAGTCGAGAGCTGTGTTTTAGAAGACCTCTCTCCCTCTCTCTCTCTCTTTCTCACCGCCTATCTTTCTCACTCTCCTTCTCCCACCAGGATCGTTAGCTTTTCCCTGTTCGCCAAGACTTCCTCGTCCGGGTCGCTCCTGTGTACGCATAGAGTCGGTTTACATCGACTTTTGATTTGCATATTGGATCCTGGGAGTCATTTTCTAGCCAGACATTGTTTTTCGTTTGGCATTTTTCCACACCCGGCTAGCATGGATTCCTTGGGAACACCTAAGCCTAACAAGGAGTCGTTTTTAGGTGATATTGGAGTTTTTGAGCGAGACCTAGCTAGTTCGATAGAGAAAAAAATTCTGAGCAAGATGTCGTTTTCCAAATTTGCTAACCGTGTACTGTATTCGATAAAAATTAATTTTAATGAAAAAATTCCGTGGCGCCACGCGGCCACAGATGGATCAGGCCCGGGACATAGGCCGCAATGTGAACCAGCATCCGCATGAGATGGTAGCCTAGTGGATAGTGCTGGCGCCCATCAAACTTTTGCAAAA